CAATTGTTAGCTAACATCAGGGACATGTTTCCCCAATGCCTTGAGGGGCAACCTAACAAGTGCCATGTCATTTATCTTCTTTAGCCCAGATTTTATTGGGGGGGAAATTAAGCCTGGCTTCATAATTGCACAGGACTGCTAGCCAAAGAAAGTGAATATGAATAAAGTCTAGGAATCAGAAAGAGCAAAGTGACCATGACTTGCCCGAAGTCACTCAGTGAAGGAGGTAGGGTTTGAATCCCAGATATCCCAAGTGAAATCTCCATTTACTGGACCCTCCAAGGTCAACACATGCTTTTTGGCCCGTGGCCATTACTCTGCTTCTGTAGTGTCCCTCTATGCTCCTTAATCACAGAGATGTCAAAACATGTCAAGTTGTTCCAACAGACAACTATGAAAGTGTTGAAGGATCTCAGATCGCAGTTAGAGGTTAGGAGTAACTTGCATGTGCCCTGAACTGGATAGCCCAGGCAAGCCCGATCTCATCAGATCTTGGAAGCTGAGCAGGGCCAACCCAGGCAAGTATTTGAATGGGAGACCTCCAAGGAATACCAGGGCCAGGAGGCCAGAGGCAGGCTATCAAGCTGCTTTTCTGAATGTCCTCTGTGCCCCAGTGGGAGTCGCCAGAGGTCACTACCATGACTTCCAGGAACAGGCACACACACACAAAATGCAAAGAATACCCCACCCCAAAAAAGTAACTTGCATGTAATGAAACAGCAAAATACACAATAAAAACCCAAGGCAAGTGAGGTTTAAATCTGATTTAATTTTGTAAAAAAATACATAACTTCGAAAGAACACAGGTTTTCTATACAAGACCATGCAAGTGTCAGCATTTCTGCATTTTCCATCGGCTCAGATCAGGTCAATCAACACCTTTGGCTGATGTGTAGTGAAGGGCATTTGGGGTAAGTAGAACCAAGTTTAGATACAGTGCATTCAGATCCATACATAGCTTCACATAAACAAGGCTGAGGGCTTCTCTGCATGGTAGAAAAAGCTTCATAAAGAGACACCTGCCTTTATGGCTCCGAGCTTAGTCATCCTGCAAAAGCACTTTTTGCTCTTTCAAAAGCAAAACCTTTGCAGAGGATGTTTTGCACAGAAATGCTATCTGGAGACTCCCTAGCAAGGCCAGTGGCACTCAAGAGTCTTGGAAGGGGCAGGTGCATAACTACCTCTCGTCTGTTCCTGGCCATCCACTTTCACCAGAGCCCACATCTCATGCAGGCTCCCTATTCTCTGCCCACCCAGCCTCAGGCTGTGCAAGTGGGGGACCAGCAGAGACCATACGGGTTGCACGGCTGAAGCAGAACTGTAACAGCATCCAAAAGGAATCATCTGCATCAGCTAGGTACCTCTTTCACTGGCTTTCCACATGTCCAGCTCAGCATGCAAGCATGAAACTGAGAGCATAATGAGCTGTTATTCAGACACACTCATGGGGGTAAGCCTGGCTGTATCAGCTGCACAATAACTGATGTTTTGATCTCTGCACATTACAATTTAGTTCAGACAAGGAGGCATTTTACCATCAATAGAGTAACTTCATGTCAGAGAGCAGGACTGAGGTTCATTCTGCAAATGGAGAACTGCAATGTATATAGACATTTGCAGCTTCAATAGGCTTGCATGAGTGAAACCGCAAAGCCTGGACATGTGGAATCAAAAAGGTAGTGGACAAAGGAAATCTGAATACAGAGCCAAGGGGGGGGGGGATCAAATTCTCATTTGCATGAGGAAAGATACCAAATTTAATCTCTCCCTTCTCCACTTGGTCACAGTTTCAAGTTTCTTGGCTGTCCTGATTGTCCTTTTTCATTCTTAAGTGTACAGCTCTTGAGATGGGAGGGAAATTGGCAGACTGGAAACCTACCAGAGACATACACAGGTGAGTTTACTGGCAATTTCCTTGGAGCAGCCCTTCACTTACAGTGGGAAGCCAAGCACAGGGACTACAGAGCCCGCTCTGATCCCATGGCAGTCCTTCTCAATGGTAAATGACAAAAGGGCTGAAGTGCCCTCCAACAGGTCTGGGTGGCAGGGATTCAAAAGCTGCAACAGCACAGAGAGTGGACTGGGGATCAAAGAGAAAAAGGCTCCACAGCAGGTAATGTCTGTGGGCACTGGGGAGAAGGCAGACCTCAGTGAGGCAACAGAATATGCACGACACAGAAGGCAAAAAAAGTGCAAATGCAAGAACACACAGCAACCCATCAAGTCACAGGGATTTTACGATACAAGGCATTCACAAGTGGTCCAAAGACCAAGGGGGAGGTGGGGAGGTGAGGAAATGCTGTTAGGGATGGGCTGGATTTTTCAAGCATAAAAACCACTGCCCAGAAGTTAAGGAGATGGGAGATCAGTGTTTAAAGTGCATATCTGGATCAATAAATATTTACACATACATTGCAGAGATTCATTTTTGGATGGTGGGAGAGCTCTCTCTCTCTCCAGGTAATTTCTACCAAAAGCTAAATAGTTTGTATTGCAGGAGAACACTTGCCTGTATGTGCAACCCTGCAGGGCTCACCTCTATCTGTCTCAGAGAAGACCTAGGAAGCAGGGCTGTGGATGGAAAATCTTGGCTCTCTCCTGACATAGAACATTTGGTGCTCTCCTGATTATGCTTCAAGTGACGTCTGAAGCTTGCAGAGTAGTTACACGGGAGATGCCAACTGGGGGAGCCAGCAGGTCCAATCCTGTCCTCTAAGAAACGGCATTAGCTCTCTTAGGGGATGGGAGAAAAGGAAATACAGTTGCCAATCTTTCTCTCCCACCATATCCATTAACTCTCTTAAAAGGTAAAGGTTCCCTTGCTCGAAAGCCAGTCGAATCCGACTCTAGGGTTGCGGTGCTCATCCCCGTTTCAAAGCCGAAGAGCCAGCACTGTCCGAAGACGTTTCCATGGTCATGTGGCCGGCATGACTAAACACCAAGGTGCATGGAACGCTGTTACCTTCCCACCGAAGTGGTACCTATTTATCTACTTGCAATTTCTTGCTTTCGAACTGCTAGGTTGGCAGGAGCTGGAACTAGAGACGGGAGGTCACTCTGTCATGCAGCACACTCAGGTCTTGAACTGCTGAACTACTGACCTTCCACAGCCTGCAGTTCAGCATCTTAACTGCAGCTCCTCTCTTAGGGGATGGGAAAAAGGAAATAGACAAAAGTGCATGAGCAAGAGGAGAGTGATCCCTCCCCCCAATGCATGTTTTGATTTGTATGCAAGTAGCAATGAGAGAATGGGAGAAAGATAATGGTAACTCCCAAGCATCCCACTGGCAAAACAATTTCCCAGCAAGAGAGATATACATGGAAGTTTTCCATAATCACAACATTACACTGGATTTTGGAAAAAATCATGTGACCAGCTGATTGTGATATAGTTACACATCTATTCATACATAGGAATTAGGGTACTAATAAGGGTCAAAAAATGTGTCAGAGTTGGGATCACTTGCCCCCACCCCCACCCCCAAGTCTTGGGGAGAGCATCCTTTTGGCACTTCACCTAACCCAAACCACCAACCTGGTTGCAGAGTATTTGCTTCCCTTTTATTGAGCAAGTGGTGAAATCTTATCAGCAGTAACCATCAAGGAGAGTGTTAGCAGTGCCAGAAAGCACAGTGGGAATGCCACATCCACTGTGCTGCCCCCAAATTCCAGCCATTTATATCCACCTTAAATAACCCCTGCCTATTTTTGTTTGGTGCAGTGCCAGTTTAGTGTGGTGATTAAGAGCAGCGAACTCCAATCTGGAGAACCGGGATTGATTCCCCACTCTCCCATATGAAGCCAGCTGGGTGACCTAAGGTCAGTAACAGTTCTCTCAGAGCTATTTTCTCAAGACCAGTTCTCTCACTCTCAGCCCCACCTACCTCACAGGGTGTCTGTTGTGGGGAGGTCAAGGGAAGGTGATTGTACGCCGCTCTGAGACTCCAAGTGAAGAGTGCGGTATAAATCCAACTCTTCTTCTTCTATTTACAGGGCTTACAGCTTGCATTAAGGGAAACTCCACAGCAGAGGATTTCACCTACAACAGAGGCTGTAATGCAGACAAGTGAAGGAGCGCAGAGAAAGTCCTTCCTGTTCCTGCAGACCATGCCAATTTCAGGATGTACTTGGGAAACGCTACTTACCTACTATTTATGCTGGTTTCCCAGGATGTTCAAGAAAATCACACAGAAATTTACAAAATTAGTGGGATGAACATTTCCTGCAATTTTAAACTTGAGACATAAATCAAGACACACCAGAGAGGTTCCAAACCCTACCTCCCCCAGCTCAAATGGTTCTTTGAATCCAAGCTGAAGAAGGTTTCCTTATCTGCTGAGGACCAGTACTTGGTTTACATTGGAACATTTTGTGAGAGAAACCAAGAACTAGGCTCGGTATGATAACTCTAATGTAGGGAGGGGGAAAGAACTGCATTTCTAGATATTCTCCACTCCAGCAAAGCAGGGATAACATGCAATATGGAATCTCCTAGGGTTGTATTATTCAAAACCATGAATGGAGCAGACAGCTTCTTGACCTGCTGTACTATACACTTACAAACGATGATAGCTTCCAGAGCTCCAGTCCCTGCTGCCAGGCTGCACAAAAATGCAGATAAGAAACCATAACAGCCAGGAAAGGGCCACTGAGATCCAGCACACACACTAAAGTAACAAGAAATGCAGATGCTGGCTAATCATTGCAGAAGAGGGCCCAAAAGGCAATCGAAAGGCAAGCTGCCAGATATAGGGCCAAGAAGCAGCAGCACTGCGGTAAATCAGATCAAGTTAAATTTTAGAGCACCAAGTTTGGAATAACAAAACACAGAGATACCATGGTAAAAAACCTCTGCAGAAATATTTCCTCTATTTTATAACCAGCCCAATCCAAGGCAAATTTCTCAACAAGGAAAAATAAAGGACATTACAGCTGCCAAGGCATTCAGGAACCCATCACAGAGGTGCAGTCTGCACCAAGCTGGTTACTGAAGTGGAGGGAACAGTTTTGGATGATTGAGATGCACACAGTGAGGGGAACTGCCCCTACCCATTCCTCACTCTCTGTGTACGCACAGGAGTCAACCCTTGTTGTTTGTACAGGAAGATCAGCAGGAAGAGGGTAATCTTCTCTGGAGGGCGTTGATCATCATCGGCACTTGGGGAAGCCTCTTCCCCTACTTTCCCCTTTTTACTTGATGTTTTTGAGCAAAGCAGTCCGTGCATTGACAACAGCTTTGAAGGCATCCTCACTGCCCGGGGCCATGCATTTATCCGGATGGAGCAGCACTGCCAGCTTCCGATAGGCCTTGTTCACCTCATCCCTGGACAGCAAGACAACAGCTTAGTAAGAGTTGCGGCCATGATTATAGGTATCCAAAACAAACAGGACACTGGGGCTGGGGCCATGGTATCACGGAGGAATTAAACTGGGGAAAGGCATGTGGATTGCAGCTTCACACACTGGCTCATGGATTCTGGCTTCCTGAAGCGGAAGGCCTCAGTGTTTCTGGCAATCACTCCCCCATAAAACGTATTGCTGTTTTTTGATTAATGAAATGCAAGAATAACACATTTGTAGTGTACTTCTGAATGTGTGGGGCACGTCATGTACACCCATACTTACAAAAGCCCTAGTAGATCAGTGATCCCCATATTGCAGAAAGGCAGCATGAAGTAAGAAAGAGTAGCTTGCTTTAGGCTGCCTAATAAAAATACAGCAGAGGCAAGCTTTAAACCAAGTACTTCCTGTTACCATATACAGAATGAGAAATGTCAAATGTTCAAGCTGGATTCAGAAAAGGAAGGGGCACTAGCAATCACAATGCAAATTTATATTGGTTACGGTAGTATAAGAAAGAATTTCAGAAGAAAATCAGCTTGTGTTTCATAGATTACAGTAAAGATCTGACTATGTGTATCATGAAAAGCTATAGTGGGGGTGCCATAACATCTGATTGTTTTGATTTATAACCTAGAATTTGGACAAGAGGCTAATGTTAGGACAGAATATAAGAACAAAAGAAGAGCCCTGCTAGATAAGACCAATGGTCCATCTAGTCCAGCATCCTGTCTCGCACAGTGGCCAACCATTTCCTCTGGACAGCCAACAATGGGGCATAGAAGCTGAGGCCTTCCCCTGATGTTGCCTCCTGGCTCTGGGATTCAGAGGATTAATGCCCCTGGATGTGGTGGTTCCCCTCAGTCACCATGGCTAGTAGCCATTGAAAGATTAATGGAAGATAAGTCTATCTAAACCTCTTTGAAAGCTATTTATTCCAGTGGCCATCACTACATCCTCTGGCAGCGAATTCCACATTTGAATCACTCTCTGTGTAAAGCAGTATTTCCTTTTGTCCGTCCTGCACCTACTGCCTATCAGTTTCATTGGATGCCCTAGAGTTCTAGTATTTTTGGAGAGGTGGGAAAAGTTCACTTGTTCCCCCCTTAGTCATCTCTCTTCTCAACTGAAAAATCCCAGACTCTTCAGCCTTTCCTCATAGGGAAGGTGCTCCAACCCCCTAATCATCTTGGTTGCCCACCTCTGCACTTTTTCCAGGTCTGCAATGTCCTTTGGGAGATATGGAGACCAGAACTGTACAAAATATTCCAAATGAGGTCGCACCATAGTTCTATAGAGGGGCATTACAATATCGGTCATTTTATTCTCAATCCCTTTCCTAATAATCCCTAGCACAGAGTTTGCCTTTTTCACTGCTGCAGTATACTGGGTTGACACTTTCACTATGACCCTAAGATCTTTTTCTTTCTCAGTCTCAGCAAGTTCAGACCCCATTAGTCCCTGAAGTTGGGATTTTTTGGTGACAATATGGAGTAACAGAATGGTGCCCTATTGTCAAAAGTGTCTGACAAGGATGTATTTTATCTCTCTATTTAGATTTAGATGAAGGTGAACTGAAAACTGGTGGAAGGAACACTAACAATCTGAGATTTCCAGATGACATCACATTACTGCCAGAAAATGGTGAAGACTTGAAACGACTATGATGAAGTAGAAGCAGAAAGTGCCAAAGCGGGATTATATCTGAACGTTACATGACATAATTACAGGCAAAGTAATACTGCTGAGGAATTATACAACTTTAAGGCTGATGATAAAGAAACTGAAATTGTTATTCCGTGGCTCCATCATCAACCAAAAGGGAGATGGCAACCAAAAAAATCAGAAGGAGACTGAGACTGGGAAGGGCAGCAATGAAGGAGCCAGAAAATATCCTTAAGTGTAAGGATGTGTTGCTGGCCACCAAAACCAAGGTAACGCATACCATACTGGAACAAATTTAGAGCCCAGTGGCTGACTACCTGGGCATACCATAGTATTCCCTATTACTATATAAAGATGTGAAAGTTAAGACTGTGAAGAAAACTGACAGGAATAAAGTTGATTCATTTGAAATGCAGTGCTGGAGGAGAGTTCTAAGAATTAATGTGGACAGTCAAAAAGACAAATAAGTGGGTTCTGGGTCCAATCAAGCCTGAACTCTCCCTAGAAGCTACAATGACCAGACTGAGGCTGTCATACTTTAGCCACATTATGAGAAGACAAGACACACTGGAAAAGACAACAATGGTAGCAAAAGTTGAAGACCCATCATGAGATGGATGTACTCAATAAAGGAAGCCACAAGGGCCCTCGGTTTGCAAGACCTGAGCAAGGCTGTTCACGATAGGACATTTTGGAGGTTGTTATTTCATAGGGTCACTGTAAGTCAGAAGTGACTTAACAGCATTTAACACAGAGACACAATTCCTGATTCGCAGTTCAGTCTCACAGTTACTATTCTACACCAGCTCTCATAATTCACCCCTGGTTACCAGGGATTGAGCCTGGGACCCTCTGCATGCAAAGCAGGTACTCTACCCATAAGTCTGCTGTAGTAACAACTAAGAAACTAAACAGTGCCATGGAAGCCAGTCTGCTTCGCTGTGTTATCTTTTCCTTGGATGACAGGGTGGGGATGGAAGCCAATGGTGCGTGAGATTCTCAAGCATCATCATGGTGATGGGTTCTGGACACCTGGAGCCACAACAGGCAGCAGAGAAAGGAATCATCATTGGCAATGGGAGGTTTGTGGCAGACCTGTCACAGACACCGGACTACAAGAAGGTATTACTGCTGGTCAAACTTCCCACACAAAGAAACTGGCTTCTCCTCACTACTTCCCATATATCTCCAGGAAACCTTTTCCTTCACAGCTCCCAAACCCACAGCTTTGTCCACAGTCTCCTCCCACTCTCCTCAGCCCTAACTCCCCTGGCTGGACAGTCTTCCTGGCCTCATATGCTTGCATGGATTAATTCCTGTCTAAAGTCCAGAGCCTTTGTTACCTTGTAGCCCCTGGCTTGACACCCAACATGTCCCAGCTGTCCTTGCTACTGCGGATCCTCCGGATGGTGTCTGCTTGCTCTTTGGTGAAACTGATGCTCATGCTGGACGTGGGGCGCTTTCCACCATTGTCACACAAATCCACAATAGCGGAGTAGAAGGTCTGCAAGCAGACAGGTGGTGGTTAGCACAGTTTGGTATAAGGCTGTTGCTTAACAATCCTGAATTTGTCAACCAGACCAAGTTCAAAGCTTTCTCCATATAGTACTGCTACTGTTCTTTTCTCTCTTGGACTCTACTTAGTTCCCCCCACATAGATGTGCTTGGGGGGGAACTAATCTGTTGCAGGTCTTATATAGTCATGTATAATCTATATATCTAATTCCCAAGTGTGCCCCCATCTGCAGATATCTAAAGCCACAGATAGGGGGCACACTTGCCTTAAACAGATGTTTCAGGAAACTTGGGGACGCACTAGGCTTGCGGAGGAGGAGGAGGAGAAGGAGAAGAAGAAGAGATTGGATTTATACCCCACCCTTCACTACCCAAAGTAGTCTCAGAGTGGCTTACAAACTCCTTTCCCTTCCCCTCCCCACAACAGAGACCCTGTGAGGTAGGTGGGGATGAGAGAGCTCTGACAGAAACTGCTCTTTTTCAAGAACAGTTCTTCTCAGAACTATAGCTTGCCCAAGGTCATCCAGCAGGTGCAAGTGGAAGAGTGGGGAATCAAACCGAGTTCTCCCAGATTAGAGTCTGCGCACTTAACCACTACACCAAACAGAGGCAATGGACTCTTCTCCCCCCCCCCCCCCCCCCCCCCCCCCCCCCCCCCCCACCAGCCCCCCCACT